AATAGATTAATATGATGACTTTTGAATAATCAAGAAGATAAATAGATAACTGGTAAATCAACTTTCAATCAAAATTTAGAAAAATACCAATATGTAACATGTTTCACTATCTTTCTCGCAAGATAAAACATGGTCCATCATGTTTAGAATAACATTAAAGAAATACCAGTGACTCTTGAACATATCTATTCTAAAATCTAAATCATCCTTCTCCGTTTAGAGCACGTTTGGTTCCTAATTCACTATACAAAGCTTCTTTACTTTTCGAAGAAAGGAAACAGGGTCAGTTTGTCTCTATCCTTCCAAACAAATAATTTTTCCACTTTCCTTGCAAAGTTTCTATGGACCCTAATTTTAGAGGCCTAGAAGGTTAGGGGCTAGACTAAATTTTAGAGGGAAGTGATGACTTTTATTTATTTTGGGGAAACAATCATTTTTTTAAAAAATTTATACCATCTCTAGAAAGAACTCCAAACGAATCAAACCAAATATCAACTATGCATTATGATATTAGGCTCCATTTGGTGACCCCGCCCTATTTTTTAAGTTAATTTTCTGACCGTATTAGTTGAAGTTATTGTATAGGATCATTTTAACTACTTTTCATATAACTTTTTCTTTATATTATCAATAAAATATATTCTAAGTATAGTTTTTACATAAATCAACAGAATCAATCATTTAACCATCTCAACCAGAACTTCACAAGTTCTAACCGATTCAGTTGATTTTGGTATTACGAAACGGGCTCTCAGTGTTATGAAACGGGCTCTAAGAATTCCACATGGTATCAAAATTATATATGGAACCTATTTCTTGTAGGGGTGGGCATAAAACCCGAACCGAACCGGTACCGAGCCGTCCCGTAATGGTACTATACCGAACCGGATACCGGGTATTTAAACGGCTCTATAGATTTTTGACCCGTACCGAAACCGAACCGTTTGAAACGGGTACGGGACCGGTCCTAGATTTTGAGAACCGAAAAATACTGGACCGAACCGTTCGAGCACTACAATAAAATAGATCTATAGAGGCCGGACAAAATTGCCTCTAAATATATTAAAGTAGCCTCTAATGATTTTTTGAGACAATTTATTGGTTGCCCCTAAGATGCCTCTAAAGAATCCGTCCCTAAATGATGGTTGCCTCAAAATCCACATTTAGAGGCAACCCATTGGATGTCACAGAAAGGTAAGCGATCAGAGGCTACCATATAACTTGCCCCAAATAACCATTAGATGCAATCAATATTTATTGTCACAAATTAGAATTAGAGGCAAACACAATATAGCGACACAAAACACCTTTAGAAGCAATGTTGTATATTGACACTAATGGATTTTAGATGCAACTCATGTTTGTAATGAAAACTTTTAGAGGCAATCATGTGTTGTTGCATAAACTGATGTGAATTACTGGTATCATGAATCATGATGCACATTATGATCGATATTCTATTACGAACAATATATTATTAAAATGGAAATTTTATAAATTTAAATAGTACAATCATCAATTACATTGGTAACTTTTCAAAATTATGAATGCATTAATACTAGTTTTGTATAACTACAATACAAATAATAACATTTATTCATTCAGTAACTAAATCTAAATTACATTGGTAACTCTTCAGAACTGTATCATCAATCAAGCGAACAAATCTTCATCACCTATGAACCATTGTTTAGGTGAAATCTTCAGAACTTTATAAAGCCCTGACTAATTCATCGCCTATGAACCATTGTGGATGAACAAGATAGAATGAAGTATAATCATTTGGCTTCTTCTGTCTGGATTTCGCTTATCTTCATCCATCTGAAATATTATAAGAAGTAAATTAGTAGTTTGTAACACAAAGTCAGACAAAAACAAGAGGTATAACCCTTTTGACCTTTAAATCTCATCAGCTACTACACGTCTACAGGTCATGCTCCATATCAAGCACAATTGATTTTATCATGAAAGAAAAGCCCTACATATTTGCACAAAAAAGCAAGTGCATTAGCTGCATAGACATCATATTAGGCATCAACAGAACTCCTATGTTAAATCAAAGAAGTTCTAACTAGTGGCTGAAAACTTATAGAGACAGGGGGTTCAAACTTCATACAAAATAACTCAAACAGATAAGTTGCATAGTGAGGAAAATACCCATTGATAAATTATTCCAATTAAACCGAATAACTTCATATTAAGAGATAAATTGTTTTTCAAACAAATTAAATAAGAAAGCCGCATATCCCAGATTAATATTATAAAACATTACACAAGAAAGGTGTCATAATGGAATTGAAAATCATAAATAGCAGATCACAACAACACCTAGTTATCTCCCAAAAAAAACAAGATCTTACAATTCTAAAGTAAATTGGTTGATTCACAAGTAATAATGCATAATTCATAAATAGGGAGTAATTAAGTACTAAAATAGCAACAATTTTTGGCAAAATCTGGTCACATTTCGGATGGTGATGTATTTAGGGATAAATACTGACTTGTTGATAAATCTGCTATAGAACATGAAACCTGAAAGAAATGCTGAACTGGAAAACATGAAGACCCACTGGACCACTTCCTCACACCAAACTGCTTGACCAAAGTGAACATTAATTGCTTGATGCCTGAAAACAAATGAGTCATATTGCAAATGAGTCATATTGCAAACTAAGGCAAGGTAATACTGCCATGGTTAACTGCCAAAAACTTCTTACCAATGAGTTTCAAATAGTTCTCAAAAAACACTCAAAAAACTCTCTACTAATCATGTCTGAAATAACTGCTCTTGAATTGGAACAGACTTGGCTCAAATTTGGTTAGTGCAGTTCAAGGAAAAAGTGCAAGACTTCTAAAGATAAAACTTAACATTTGTCCCTTTTCTCTTACCAAAACCAACTTTAGTACTCAAAAGATACATATAATACGTAAACAGGGATGACAATGTATGTGTATCATGTGTATGAGAAGCTTTTAAATACGGAGTATATGTCAATAGACTTTACCAACTAAGTAAATTCATAAAACAAACAAACACATATCACGAACTCAAGAAGGGATGCATACTATAAGCAAATTCTGAATAGAATACAAATTGTGAGGATAAATTTTAATTATGTAGCGAAAGAGGATTTGAACCGAACAGAATGTTTGGCCAATATCCAGCTGTAATCCATCTATTACAAGACTGATTCACACAAGAGAGATTAAGAATCGATTCCTTCAACCACGATATCATAACAATATCTAAGCCCAGAAAAGATTAAATTCCTAGCTTTGTTTCAGAGATACGGATATTAGAGTCATCAAAAATCTCAAAATTAATTTTTTTTTCTTTTTATCAATTCATCAAACCTGGAAGATGACTGGGAATTGCTCCGGGCTATATTTTTTCGGTCGAACTTGCGCCGCTGCCCCAAATCTATTTGGTCGGCCTGATTATTTAGCAAATAACCCCTGTTCTGTGTTCCCAGGTTTAAGAAACCCTAGTTACGCCTAAAAGAAAGTTGTTTGGATCTGAAATCTGGAATCTCCTATCCGCGACCTGTAAAACGACCGCTGATATGCTGAGTTGTGTCCAACAAATATGGGTCGTTGTCTTCCGTTTGGCTACTCTGCAACAGGAATCGCCATGTCTGGGTGTCGGAGGAGAGACCCCGCTCCTGGAGGCCATCACTCTCTGCTCCTTCCCGCTATCGCCATGCTATCGACTCCCACATCGATTCGCCCAGGTGAGGTCACCGATCCGGTGCCGAGGTTCTCGGATCGGATATAGCCCCGCGCCGCCCAAACTCTGGACCCTCTCAGGCCGTCTATTTCACATCCGTAAAAAATGGTAAGAAGAATTGTAAAAACATTTACTACGTTTGGTAAAGTTGACACATTTTCCTTTTCAAGTGAGTTTGGGGATTAAATGATCAAAAAAGAAAGTGAGTTTGGGGATTAATTAATTATAAGAAAGAATGCCCGTCCCTAAAAATTTAAAACTACTTTACATTAATTACAAAATAGAAAGTGTTAAAAATTTTGGGAAGTGATTTAGAAATGCAAAGTTTATCAGAAAATATTTTAATCTATTAAAAATTTATAATTTAAATATATCTATTTTATGTTCTGCATATTTGGACAATTCCACCTTTTCAGCCAATATTTGATCAATTTCAACAAATTTATCTGATTCAACCAATTTCTATATTACCAAATATGCCCTAGTAATTAAAATCATTCGAATTTTAAAATTTGGGATAGTTTAGAGGTAAAAAATTAATAATAATTGAAGTTGTACTAATTAATTACACCACACCTTCTATTAGAAGATTGAGAAAATGGTTGCCCAAAATTATTCGCTCTATAAGTGATGTATACACTTAGAAGAAGATGTCTTATGGGCGACTATACTTTTGCAATAAACTTTTAGAGTTGACCCTAAAAAGATTGCTTCAAATAATACATTTAGGGGCAACTATGCTTTTGCAACAAGTTTTTAGAGGCAGCCGTGAAAAGGTTGCCCCAAATAATACCTTTTTGAAACAAAAAAACTACGGTTGCCTCAAATGTATTGAGAACTTATAAGATTAGAGGCAACCAAGATTTATATGACGCTAAAAGGTCTTTTAGAGGCAAGTTGCTTCAAAGTGTTGCCTCTATAAATGATTTTTGTTGTAGTGGAGAATAATGTATTTGAATTTTTTATAATTTTTCTATACCAATAGATTATATATTCATGTGCTCCTAAACTAGCTAAATGTGTGTGTTTAGATTATATATATATATATATATATATATATATATATATATATGTATGTATGTATGTATGTATGTATGTATGTATGTATATATATATTGTTATTTTTTCTTTTTAGATAATTTATGTTATATTTTGATATGTATTGAAAGAATATTAAAATTTTAGAAATCATTAAAGACTATTCATTTCTAGTAATGTAGTGTAACGTACATGACTTTTTGTAGTATCATGTTTGCGCAATCTTACAACATAACTAATCTGGTTTAAATATTAGCTCTCAAGTTTCAACTATAATAAATTAAATTAGAACTACGGAGAAATATTTAACCTAGATTAAAGAAGAAGAACATTGAAGATTTCTGTTATATTCAACAATTTGATGATATTTTTTTTATATTTTCATATGAACTTAGTAAATTAAAGATGATATTTATCTCGTGTGTCATCATTTTGCTATACTTTTTCTTAGTTGTGTTGCAATATTTGTGTACTTGTGAATTTTAGTACTACATATGCAATTTCTTGTATTTATATCAACATATATTACAAGTGAGTTGGCTGTTGTCAAGATATCTACTAATTGCAAGATTTGTTCAAAATTTTAGGCATGTGTTTGACATTGTATCGTACCGTTTTGTACCATTCCGAAACGGCATGGAACCGAACAGTTTCATCCTTGAAACCGGACCGTACCGGACCGTTAACATTACGGGTTTTACTAGTTTACCGGACCGTTCCGGACCGCGCCCACCCCTAATTTCTTGTTTTCAGATTTTATTTTCTATTCTTTCATAGTTTCAGTTTTGTGATTTTTGTCAAGACTTTTGAGCATAGGACAGATGATGAAGAACCTAGTTTGCCCGTCATTGGCTCAGGTATGCCCAATTTGGAATCAGCGAATCTGGTTGCTTCTGTGGAGGTGACAGGTTCTAAGTCTGGTTCAAGGGCAGACGGTAGACATAGGGTTCTTTTTCTGATTGTAACTTGCTGATGTTCATTCTTATCAATATAAGCCACCTTCTTCCAAAAAAATAGTTTCAGTTTTGTGATTTTAATGTTGGGAAGGTACAAATATACCTTTGTAGTATATTTGTGAAAACAAGTATACACATGTTCTATTTTTTGGCACAAATGTACCACTGGAGTTTATGTGGAGGTGCATATACATCCTTGAACTTTTAAAAAAGTGCAAAAATATCCTTCTTGTTCCTATAAAGGAGCAAATTTACCTTTATTGACTCAAAAAATAAAAATAAATTTTAAAAAAACACTAAAAAAGTTGTATATTCAAAATTGAAAAATACAAATTAATGAGTTAAAAATAAAGATTTTTGTTTTTATGTTAATATAATAACTCTTTAACTTTAAATTGCAAAATTATTGTTTTTCCATTATAAATGAAGCATCTCAAATTCATAAATATTAATTTTAGGCTTGTTGCGAAATTTCGAGCACATTGTTACATTTTTTGAAATAACATTCTTTGGTTTTGTTTAAGCTTAATAAAATTAAATTCACTCTTGAACTATTTATTATCATACAGATATGTAACTTTATAGTGCAAAGAATTCAATAATTAATATTTCTTTTACGTTGCAACACATATATTAATACTTTTTCAAAATAATCTTAAATATATAATAAAATATTGAAATAAAATTTATACTAACAATATTAAATTGTGGTATAAAAATAATAAAAAGGGAGAATTGGACACAAGTAGTTTTTTTTTCAATTTGAAATTCATAATTTATTTTTGATCTTTTCAGAAATTTATTTTATCTATTTAAAGTCAATAAAGATAAATTTGCTCCTTTATAGGAAATTGAGGGGTATTTTGCACATTTTAAAAGTTCAAGGGTATATATGCACTCTAACATAAATTTCAGGGGTATATTTGTTTTAAAAATAGAAATGAGTATATTTGTTCCCACACCTATATTAGAAGGGTATATTTATACTTTCTCCCTTTTAATGTTCGCGTAGTTTATCATCACCTCTTTTTTGTTTTGCAACTTCGAGAATATCCTTAATTATGAAGTACTACTTAATGAACATATATCTATTAGAACATCTATGTGATGGATGCTTACGCTCACTCAATTAATAAAATCTGGATTTTTTGGCATAATGACCTCACTGTCACTGTTATATCTGATTTCAACCAGTGTATTAATCTCTCGGTTTTCTCTAATAGCATGATCTCCCCTATTTATATCTCTGTTATCTATGGTGCTAATGACAGAGCTACTAGAAGAGCTCTTTGGACTGACCTTACCAATTTCAGGGATGGCATTGAGGATAAACCTTGGCTTCTAGGGGGGGATTTCAATGTAATATCCAATATGATGGAATATAAAGGCAAGAGTACTCCCTGTAAGTCAGATATGGATGATTTTAATGCCTTTATCTATGCCAATGGCTTGACTGAGTTATATTTCCCTGGAACCCCGTATACTTGGATTGGGAAAAGGATGCATGGGCTTGTCCAAAAAAAATTGGACCGGGTTATGGTTTCCACTGAGTTGCAACAACTTAACTGGTCCTTATCCCTTAAAAAGCTTAATCGTTGCGTTTCTGACCACAATCCTTTGCACCTCTTTGAAAACAACAATAATATTTCTGGCCCCAAGAACTTTAAGTTTCAGCATATGTGGACTCAACACAAATCTTTTCTTGAAATTGCAAAGGCTTCCTGGGTTAATCCCAGTGATGGGTATGGCATGTGGAAGTTTTCTTCAAAACTAAAACGCCTGAAAAGTGATTTAAAGGAATGGAACAAAAATATTTTGGAAATATTTTCAATAAACTGTCTGAAGCTGAAACTGATATAGCTAATCTTGAAAAACAGCTCTCTGATTCCCTGTCTGAGAATGACCACCTTCTCCTTAAAAAGGCCCAGGCTAATTACATCCAATACTCAGCTCATATAAACACCTACTATCGGCAAAAGGCAAAGATTAATTGGCTAAAGGAGGGAGATGCAAATACAAAATATTTTCATCTCTCCCTTAAGGCCAAACATAATAGACTTAATATCTCTAGAATCAAGCTTGATAATGGCGTTTGGATCGACAGTGCTGATGATATTTGCAATTCTGCTGTTGCCTATTACTCTGACTTACTTAATGCAGATGATGAAACTGATTCCCTTGACCATGCGGATTACCTCAGGAATATTAAACAGATTATCTCTCAGGAGGATAACATTCACTTAATGAGGCCTATTACTAAAGATGAGCTCAAGGAAGCTGTCTTTAGCCTAGGCAAAAACAGTGCCCCTGGAATTGACGGCTTCGATGGTGTTTTCTACCAATGTGCTTATGCTATCATTGAGGATGATCTTCTTAACGCTGTGCGTGAATTCTTCTGTGGGGTGCCTGTCCCTAAAAGCATTGGGCATACCTTGATTGCCCTTATCCCTAAAGAGCCTAATGCGTACAAGTTTTCCAAATTCAGACCTATTAGCCTTAGTAATTTTTCAAATAAAATTTTTACTAAAATTCTCACTAATAGGATTACCCACCTGCTGCCCAAAATCATCTCTGATGAGCAATCTGCCTTTCAACCAGGCAAAGAAATCTCTGACGGTATTCTTGTCCTTAGGGAATTGGTTAATCACATTAATAAAAAGACACGTGGGCATAACATTATCTTTAAATTCGATATGAATAAAGCTTTTGACCGTATATCTTGGCCTTTTATTAACAGTGTCCTTCTTAGCTTTGGTTTCCACCCTGCCTTTATTAAGCTTATTATGAATAATCTGCATGCTACTTGGTGCTCGATTTTGATTAATGGCACTCCTAAAGGTTTTTTCAAGCCTTCTAGGGGCGTAAAGCAGGGTGATCCCCTCTCCCCCATTTTGTTTATTATTGTGGCTGAAGTTCTATCCAGGAATTTAAAGCTGTTTTACTCTTCTGGGAGAGGTACGCCTTTTAATACTTACCGGGGTATGCCTTGCCTTTCACACCTTTCTTTTGCTGATGACTTGGTGGTCTTTTCTAATGCTGGCAAAAATACGATGGTGGGCCTTCACAACACTATCACAGAGTACGAAAAATACTCTGGGCAGCTTATTAACAAGGATAAAAGTTTTTATCTTATTTCTAAACATTCAAAATTCCACAATTGCAATGTTGTGAACCATATCTTCCATATCAATAAGGGCTCTTTCCCCTTCACTTATTTGGGAGCCAGGATTAGCTCAGGGCGCACCCTTAATGCGCATTTTCATTTCATTTTGACTCAAATTGATAATAAACTTTCGGGCTGGAAGCACAGGATCCTTTCGACCGGTGGTAGGATAATTTTGATTAATCATGTCCTTAACTCCCTACCCCTTTATCATATGGCTGTTTCCCCCATCCCTATTACTGTGATGCGTAATATGGAGCGTAAACTTGCTAATTTTCTTTGGGACAATAACAACAATCATAAAAAGCACATTTGGCGTAAGTGGGCCAAAGTTTGTTATCCTATTAATGAAAATGGGCTTGGTTTTAGGAGTCTCCTCCATATTCAAAAAACTTTCTTTATGAAACTGCTTTGGAAACTTAAAAATGGTAAAGGGATCTGGGCGTCTTGGGTCAGCTATCTTAAGGATAATACTTGCTCTATCATGTATAACTCTCTTGCTTCAGTTCGGCACACTTTTGATAGTAATTGTTATGTACAGGTTAATAATGGGTGCAGCTCATTTTGGTTCTCTAATTGGTGTAACCTTGGGCCCCTTTATCACTACCGGGATGCTATCACCCCCACTGAGGCCAATTTGACCATAAGGGATGCCATGCCGGATTCTGTTGTGAAACCTGCTGTCCAAAACAAGCTGCCACGCTATGTCATTGACACTCTCCACGCTATGAATATTCAGTTTGGTATCAACAATGATATCAACATTTGGCAACCGAATCCTAATGGCATGTTCAGTTTTAATAGCGCCTATGATGTCATTAGACCAAAAAATAATTTGAGTCCAAGAGCCAAGTACTTATGGAACACCCGTATCCCGAAAAAATCTCTTTCTTTTTATGGAGACTCAACAATGATCTTTTACCATTTCCTGTCAAACTAAACCTTTTTGGCATACATGGCCCCTTCAAATGTCCTTTTTGCAATAACATGGATACCATAGATCACTTTTTCCTTCATTGCTGTTTTGCAACAACTATTTGGCATCACTTTGAAACCATTCTAGATTTCTGCCCTGTTAAGTCTGGTACCTTCATTAATTACATTAATAATTGGTACCTTGACTACCATGGCCCTATTATTGACTTCAATTATCTTTTACCCAACATAGTAACTTGGCATCTTTGGAAGGTCCGTAATAAGGTCCTTTATGATAACAAACTGGGTCATATACCTGAGGCTATAAATGCTATTAAATATGATATCTTTGCCATTTCGGTTGCCAAACCCCTCACTGCCACCATTCTCACTGCCCCTTTTAACATCCAGATGATAACTCCCAGAAAGAGCCCTAAGACTGCCACTCTTAGCAGCTGGATCAAACCGCCGATCAACACCTATAAAGTTAACTTGGCTACCAGAAGGCTCACGTCCAACATCACCCGCTCGGCTGCCATCATCCGTAATCATGAAGGAAGTTATATTGGGCATGCAACCCATTTGGCTAGCCACAACCAAACAACCAATGCCTCCTATGATGCCCTTGATTATTTCATCCCTCTCTTAAACAACATTATGCCTACTAACGTTATCTTTGAGGTTGATGATAGGAATGTTTATGAAGGGGTTGCTGGTGTCTCACTTCAACATTGGAAATATTGGCCAAGGATCCACAAAATCCAGAAAAAAGTCAAAACAAACACTTGGTCGGTCACCTACGTTAATCCAAAAATTAATAGAGCAGCGGAATTCCTTGCTTACCACAACATGTCCATCAAAACCAATGGTCATCATTTTAGTCAATTTGTTGGTATTCTTAAGTTTGATGCTGTAAGTTTCCCATATGTTGTGTAATCTCTCATTGAGTAAGCTTTGGTCTAGCCCTCTTACTTATGTATACTTTCCTATTTTTAATAAATTGGTGAGGTGTTTCCTGGCCCTCACCCCAAAAACTCTCGGGTTTTTGGCTTAAACCGGGTTCAAAAAAAAACATCTATGTGATGGTTGTCGGTAATGGGGACAGTGGTAAACAATTACTCGATCTGTCACATTTTGTTTTTCTAATTTTTCTTTTTAGATTGCTTCATAATAAGTGATATTCTTTTTGGAAATGAATATTTGCTCAACAAAATTTCACTAAATTACACTCAAATCTGAATCACAATTTTCATTTTTTAAATTACTTTATTAATAATTTTGTCAAATCAAAAGAAGACACATAAAACGGGATGAATGAAGGTAGACTAAACACTTCACTGTTTGGGATATACTTTTCTTATTTTTCCATTTTGTGCGCTTTCTTTGGAATTTGGACCAATAGTAATAGAATGCCCACAATTTTAGAATGAAAAGGAAAAAAAACACAATTGCTATATACAAGCACTAAAAATATTCAATGCATGTCATACAATTCCTTCCCCGATATATATATCATCTTGAAAAATGCTTTTTCCACTAGAAACACTTTCCCCCACATCCAGCATTTCTGAATAGCGCCTGCCTTATGTCTTCTGAACTTAAGGCTTTTCTCTGCTCAGACGTTTCCTATCACCATCACAAAAGTTAAAGAGCACGAATGATAAAGATTATTCATATCAAACTGTAATTGCATTTGTTGATTCAAAACATTCACACTTTTGGTAAGTCATGATGTTATCCAATATAAGCAATCAAATATACATAATTCTAGTGTATATTTTCATCAGCCATGGTGTTAGTTTGTGACGTTTCAAAATAAATAAATTACGTGGACATGGTTTGGGACGATTCGAGATTAAGGTTATTGAAGTCCTAATCAAATTGGTTACTGAACAAGCCTTTAATTTGTCCTAACCCTTGTCCCATTTAAGTCACCGGAATTTGATGAGACGTCGCAAACTAACACTCTAGTAGAAATTTAGGATGGGTATTAATGTTTAAATTTATAATTTGGTCTCGGAAAACTAAAAGCATACTACTCCGTATTATTTATTTTTTGAACTTGTACTATACAATAGTCAAATACTAAATGAACTCTATAATCACACAAATTGGACAATGTGACGGAAAGGGGCAATCTTCTGATGTCCCGGTCCGATGGTGCCGCATTTTAAATCGGTATGGGACAAAATGATCAAGTCTTAAGAAGAAAGAGACAATGATTGAACACTTTCGAGGTATTTCGGAACGAGACGACACCAAGACTTTTGTCCGCCCTAAAATAAATATTCGGCTTGAGTTTGTGACGGAGAAAGAATTTAAAACCAAATGCCCACCCTACTACCAAAGTACCAAGAAGCTCGATCTTCAGAAGAGTATTTTATTACCTTAGTGCAGGAGGCTTGCATTGAAAAGTCATTGAAACAGCTAATGACACACTGCTCAATCTCAAGGCCTAGAGCCTCCAATGTGGCCACTGTGGTTAATAACAGCCCTGGCTTTCCTCCACAGCAAATCTCTATCTTTGTATCAACCTCCCCACTGCTTTCCACCTCAAACTGAAATGGAAATCTAAATCATACTTTGACCCTAACCATTTACCAACTTTTAATTAAAATAGAAATCATTATTTTATTTATTATATTATTTACCTTTGGAGAAATTTTAACCTCCATTTCATTGGGTTTTACATTCTTCAAAATCCCCATCTCCTTCTTCCCCGTATCCATTCCTTCTTGCAGATTGTTGATTTTCCCTAACAACTCCTTCATGTAGTCTATAGTATCCCCCAATATAGATGTTCTGTCCATCTACCTAGCCAAAAAAAGATGGGATTAATGTGGGAACTCTTATGTTTGTAAACAAATTATGTTTATTTATTCCTTGCATTGGCATGGTTTTGAAAATCTTTCTTACAATTATTAATTATGCATGTGACATTATGAAACAACAAATTTAGATTAGTATTCTGATTAAACATGCACATAATTTATTAATTCCTTCCATTGGCATTGTTTTATTTGACAGTTACAATTGTTCTTATAAATTATTGGACGAAAAATGGGTTCCAATTCATTTTTTGAGTATTGGACTGATGGGCATAATATCACATGAAAAACAATTGATTAAGATAGAACATAACGTGACCAAGAAGCCGTACAAACATGAATTGGAATCAATGAAAATTGAGATGTCAAATCTAAATACCACATCAAAAAATTACTGAATAGTAACATATTTGAGAAATCAATGAAAACTAATGATCAAAACAAATAAATAGATATAGATGGAACATGAGACGATATTAGTAATGATCTGATAAAGATTAGAATAACACATTCCGTACTCCAGCATCCCTTTCACATGAACAATACACAACAATCTTGGATAGAAGTGTTCATCTAATTTAATACTCCGTATTAATTTAAAGTCATTTGAGCCTTAGGGGTAGTATTAAATACTTCATACGTACGAATTGACCTTGATTCAAAACTAACAATAAACTATTGTAATATTTAAGGTGGCAATATAATACTACGCAAGTGACATTTACAATCCTAATACTTAATATTTAAGGCTAGACTAAATTTAATTTAAAGAGACATGGAAAAGTAAATTGGTGTTAATGTAAAATAAACGCAAAATGTACTATATACAAATAAACAGTAGTGCAAGTATCCTTCATCTGCACCACCCCTAGCCTAGAGTTGAAAATTGGAACATGATAAGTTAGATATTATAGGGGTGTTTCGATCTGATTCTTAAAGTTGTTTCTCCTCTTTCAGGAAGCAGTAACGGAAGTTAGAGTGTTTGGGTGAAGGTGCAGAAGTACTTCTGGTGCTCCAAATTATTCCTAGAATCAATTTTCTAGAAGATATGAGAGATCAGCTTCTGAAAACTAATTCTGATTTCACTTATGCTCTAAAAATGAAGCAGAAGAAGCAGAACAATTCCAAACACCCCCATAGTGTGGTGAAGTATGTGTTGTATTATCTGTCCAAATTTATCAACTTTCATTTTGTTATTCTTATTATTTCTCTTATCACTCCAAATTTAATCACACAACTACTACTTTCTCACTTGAAATGTGATTTTAGTAATTGGAGTAAAGGAAGTATATGTAATCCTAACTCAGTCACAAATAAAAGCTAGCTACAACACCTTGACACATAGATTAAGGAAGTGAGATATAAAAAGGCCTGATACGTAGTAGTATGATGAAAAAGTTATAGATTTTAGTAAAGAAATAGTCAAGTGTGAAGGCTGTTATTTTTGGAAATTGTGTTTTCATAAATGTCACCATTCAAATGATCAAATTTATGACATTTTTTGGACAATCGAAGGCTGAAATTTATAAAATTGAAAAAACGAAATTACATTTCAATGTGAGTACTGGACATTGCGATGATTTCCCAAAATATATTGTGTTCTTTACAAAAAGTACTTTCTATGAGCTTTTTAATACTCTAGCAATACATCTAATTGAAGTGATTGTAGTATGAAATTTATAAATTTTATACTTTTATAAAAGTATCTTTAATCAAAAATAGTTTTACAAAATTTTCATATTCTGAATAATTTTATACGGAGTATTAAAAAATATCATTGGTCATCAATCAAACTAACTACTCTCTCGGTTCCAAAACTAACTTCCATGCATCTTTCCTTTTTGAGATGCTCCAACATTAATTTCGTACTTTACTTTATTCCTACTGATTTACTCTTTACTTTTACTATTCATTTACCACATTTAACTAATTTGGACTTCCACTTTTAAGGGTATTCTTGGAAAGACAAATTTTATTTTTTGGAAGTTAATTTGAAGACGGAGGAAATCTCCTACAACTAAATTTTGTGAGATAGAGACTTATTAATGACCTTGGTGATCTTGGGAACAACTGATCTGAGCATGGAGAGGCGGTCGTTAAGCCGCTTTCTCCGCCTTCTCTCAGCCATCAAATTCTTGGAAGGCTGCCCATGGACCTTCTTCGCCTTCGATTTCACCGCCTCCTCCTTCTTCTCCGGGCAACATCCGGCGATGTTACCGAAAGAGCCCGCCGGCGTTTCAAGAAGTACCGGCTCCAACATTTGTGAAGAAGATGTACTACTACTGCTCAAGTGATCTAACAACAGTTCTGATGGAAATGGCAATAACGAATCCGCAAAATGAGGTGGCCAGAGTTCACCATCATTTCCCAATAATTGTGGGCCGCCGTAGTACTCTTGGCTCTGCCACTCAAACGGAAAACACTCGTCCGAGGCGGAGACGGCGGAGATTGGCGGAAGTGTTGTGGGGTTCACGAAGGAATCGCTGCTCAGCCACCCGCCGTCAATATCATTGCTATAATAATTGTTGATGTTTTTCATCAGTCCCATTTCCATTCCCATTTCTGGGTGATCACTTCTCAGAGCCACTAATTCTTCAAAGAACCCATTTTCATAGTAATCCATTGTCTTTCTCTGCCCCTTTTCTTCTTTTTTTGAACAATCTATGGCCAGAGCATTTATGGGTTGATGAGAATGAGGGAAAGAGGTGATTGTTTATATAGACACACTCAATTCCCGAGAGCGGTTTTAATTCACGAGTCACAGTAAAGTTCTCTACGGCTACCACCTATATTGGTTGGAATCTCAAATATCGGAATACTATGCCGTCTGTTTCAGTGTCTTTGATTTGGTTGTCTATGGCTCACTGTTTTAAGAGGTTTGAAAGGGTACAAGAATAGAGAAACTGGTACTTTTTGGAGCTATATTCATATATGGTCATATTCAAGCTCCATTGAAATTGACTAATCTCGTATGAAAACTAGCTAAAATGATCTTTTTACGGTAAGTTTAATCAGAAAAATAATTAACTTCAATCGTAGTTATTTTGACTATTATGAGTTAAATGGATTTTAAAAGATCAATAAATTTTGAAATCCGTTGAAATCTGAGGGATTCTGTTAAATGTCCCACACCGGAAACGTTTGGATGAACAAAATGCTATATTAACACACGGGTTACTCCTCCTATCAGGTTGACCTTTTAGGATGGAACCCCGTGTCTTAACATGGTATCAGAGCCA